TTTCGGGTGTGTGGCTTGACTGGCACCTTGGAGCTCAGCTGAGTGAGAGGGTGTCCTTTAAGTTGAGGGGTTTTACAAATTAGCATGGGGTTCTTAAAAGGATGTATGGGGGTGGTTTTCGGGTTTGGTAATGAGTATGGCCTTCAGTGGTCATATTACCAGTAACTACAGAAGGGAGCATTTGGGAATGCTATTTCTAAGTATTCAGACCCCCCATCATTGTTCTCTTTGCCTGGGGTTCATTCCACAATCAAGGAGGGTGAGAGATTCGGGCTCGAGAGCTGGCACACAGACCGCAACTTCGGATGACGGGCTGCAGGTCGGTCTGTGGCGGTTTACGGTTTAGTAGGGCTTAGGGCTCGGATCCACAAACTTTAGCTTGGGATGGCAACCCTAAATCCTGCACCCCCAAAAGAGGTGCAATGACCCAGAAAATACTTTGTCGACACCCCTGGACTCTCCCCCGCGCCTCCAAATGCACTTTAATCTCGCCATAGCCTAGCCCTATATGACTTACAATATCGGGTTGGGTATAAGTATAGAAAGTCTAGTATATTCGAGTAATTGTGGCCTGTGTCTAAATGACTTGCATGGAGATCTGTAGTTCTATGGAGATCGCCGTCTGAAGGACCGAAGCTGTCCGAAAGAAAAGGTGCCCCCCACACAAAGACACTCTTTAGAGTAACCCGTAAGGTAACGCTCCTTACCCTAGAGGGTCCATATATACTACTATTATGGAGTTAGGTCCCCAGAATCGTTATGTGGATGGTCTTTCAGGGCCTAATTCCATAGTAGTAGTGTGTATGGACTCTCTGGGTACATCATCACATGGGAGTTGACCTTCAATATTAGGTGCCGTATTATATTAGGGACCCAACAAGCGACCATAATTTTGACAACCACCCACATGAAATCTTGCAGACGGCCAGCCACAACGCCGAACCGGCCGTGGAGGTGCTTCGTCTTATGGAAGGCAACTGGGATGGCTCAGACTGACGATTTGGAGTCTCAGGGCTGCTTGTCGGGTATCATGGGGAACTAAAGGTTAACCTATTTGGTTGTATGTGGATTATATAGGGACTATACTACCCAAAAAAAGGTTAAAGGTTATCTACTCTACTACTAGGGCTGAGTACCCTGGCCTGAAAAAGGCCACCAGGGCCTACCCAGAGGCTCCATAGTAGTTCCTTTTTGTGATTACCTTATAGGATTCTATATACGAACCCCAAAAAGGAAGGCCTACTTCATACGGTTGATGATATGAATCCTGCATTACCCATAACAAGGAATATATGGGAATTATGGTATACTCCTTATTATGGGTCATGCAGGGTTTATATCATCCACCGTAGTATCCCATACCCCAAGGCTCTAACGACTCATATACTAAGGCTCTTGGGCCCAAAGACCATAGTATATGAGGCTTTTGGGCTATTTTGATCCCTAATGTTATAGTATATAACCCTTATAGACCCCGGTTAAAGGAACCCTAATTTAAACCCTGCTTTATTCTCCTATACTTGGAGGGGCAGGGGACTTAGTACGCAGGTTAAAAGGAGGGTTATAATTGGTGTAACTCCATTTAGGGTACTTATAACTCTACCTACAACCTACTTACTAAGTCCCCTGGGAAAGCCCCAAGGGATTTAACCAAACCCTGAACCCGGAAACTCACCCTTCAAACCTACCCAGAGGCCCCATAGAAGCATGAAAACCAAAAAGGAACTACTTTGGGGCCGGTGGGTAAACACTTAAACCCCAACCCTTAGAAACCTAGACCCAGGGCACCGGGAAGAAGCCGCCAGTGGCCGGTAATGATTTGGAACGGTGTCGCACCTTAGCTCGGTAGGGTGGGTTCAGAAGGTTCCAACTGGACAATACCTGGACCCCAAAAGTATGTAGAATAATTGCCTTTTAAAGGTATTGGACCATTAGTTTGCCTACTTTGGGCTATTGAGGTAAACCCGAAACGCTAACCCTAAAGCCTGAACTCTAAATTGCAGCCTGGCTAGGGCCGCTAGGGAACCCTCAACCCCAAATCCTACGACACCAAAATCCATAAAACCCCATAGAACCCCAAAACTCAATCCTAAACCCTAACGCCCTAAACCCTAAAGTCCAAAACCTCTCGAAACCCAAGAGCCCTAAAGCCCCAAACCTAAACCCTAAACCGTATTATAGAATTGTCATAGGAACTCTTCTAGGAACCCTTAAACAAGAACTCTCAAAAAAGAACCACTTAAAAAGGATCCCTTAAAAGGAACCCTTAAAAGGATCAGTTAAAAAGGACCCTAAAAGCCCAAAAACCCAAACCCTTATAACTTCATCCCCGAGGATGCTCAAGGCTTGGCCAACCGGCCCACGGCCCACCATTTAGAGTTTAGGGTTTGGGGTTTAGGACTTACGCTTTAGAGTTTAGGGCTTGGGGCTTAGAGTTTAGGATTTAGGGTTTAGAGTTTAGGGTTTGGGGTTTAGGGTTGCGGGTTTAGAGTTTAGGGATTGGGGTTTAGAACTTAGGGTTTAGAGTTTAGGGTTTAGGGCTTGGGGTGTAGGGCTTAGGATTTAGAGTTTAGGGTTTCGGGCTTGAGGGCTTCAGAGTCCTAATCGGGCTTGGCTTCGTCTTCGGGAGGGGAGGGAGGACTTCAGAGTACAGTTGGACCCGTCGTCCGGTTTTGGGTGTACAGTTTAGGGCCCCAAAAAACCACAGAAGCAAAAATTAGGATAGGGATATCCCATATAAATCCCCTTATAATGAAGCCCAATAAGGCAGGGATATCCCTGTAGAATGCTTATGCTTATGCGCTTTTTTGGGTCCCCACAGTTGGGGCTCGGAAAGTCGTTATCAGCGACACTGCTGCAGCAGCTCTCACTTGATACCTTTCGCCCTGCAGACCTCAGCCGCAATCCCCAAGAACTTTACTAAAACCCTAAAAACCTAAAGCCTAAACCCTAAAACCCCAAAACCCTAAACCCTAAAACCCTAACACCCTAAACCCCAAAAACTCTGAATCCCAATTCCCTAAGACCCTAAATCCCTAAAACCCTAAATCCCAAAACCCTGAATCCCTAAACCCAAACCCAGCCCTGAAGAACAAAGCCTCCCGTGTGTAACAGAGGCGCGCAGGTCCCTCAGGGCTTCCGCCTGCACCTCGGGGAGGTGCTGTAAAACAGCTCCAGGCTTCGGGCTTCGGGTTTTGGGTGTAGAGAAGTTTCGGCTTTAGGGTTTAGGGTTGGGTGCACCGTATATATGTACATATATATATATATATACACACATACATATCTCTGTGTGTGTGTGTGTACGCCAAACTTGGTGTGTGTGTGTGTACGTATGTATATGTGTGTACGGCATGGAAATAACTATGTGCTGCATGTGTCTTTAAATATATATATATATATATATATGTAGATACACATGTGTTCACATATGTACATATGCAGGCGTCGTATGTGCGAAGGCACATACATACATACATACATACATACATACATACATGCATGCATACATACATACATATACACAGATATTTGTACGTAATACACACATATATACATGTGTGTACGTATACACATATACATACATGTATCTACATGATGTGTGACATGTGTGATTATCATACATGTGCATATATCTGTATATGTATACAGATGGCCAGATGGAGGAAAGAGAGCAAGAGAGGGAGCTGTGCCGGAAAATATTAAAGAGACAAGCACATGTAGCTGCAGGTCTGCACATCAATGCATGTGCGTACACACATGCGAGCACTGAAACACATTGCATGTAAATGTGTGGGGTGTACGTATGAATACACGTACACTGCGCACACGCATGACTCAAGGGATATATATATATATATATATATACATATATATATATATATATATATATATATTTGTCCTTCTATATATGTATACCGTTACGCAGGCATATGTCAGGCATATGTACATGCACGCCAACAAAGAACAGATCGGCAGTCTTCGGCAGTCATCATTAATTAGCATCGAGTGGCAAACTTGTGAATGCTGCCACGTACCTTGCATGTATGAATGATGTGAAACATGTACACTATATGTCAAAAAATACACAGCTTTTCTCTCCGGTAACTTGGACATTCGGGCTTCGTTTAAATGTATGATTTATCCAGCGCAAGCGGAAGTTAAAGCACTGTGCAGAAAGTGTGTGTGTGTGTCCCGCAGTAACAGGAGCATCCCAAGGTTCACAACTTGAAGCAATAGTATATAAGGACCTTGATAATTAGAATGGGGTTTTGGGGCCCGTTCTACTATCAAACAGTAAGGAACCCCCCAAGGAGTATTGGTAATTGTTTAAGCCTCTCTATTAAGGCCCCCGAGAATCGTACAAACACTGAACGTTGATTTTTCGTGGCATAGCCAACGCTCCTCAGATAAAACCATATACACTGCCACGTTACAGAGCCACCGATGTCCAGCTTGTAGAGCTCAGACAACATTCCTCGGAAGCTGGCGAGAAAAGCCTTGCCCGAACCATGGGGAATTGATGGGAAGCGTGTATCTAAGAGCCCCGCAGACCGAAACCATTCCCTATCCAAGGATCGAAAACTTGAATGCCCAGCAAGTACCACTTGTGTAGGCTTCTTCTACTTCCTTTCCTCCTACTGCTGCATCTACTGCTACTACTGCTACTGCTGATAGTGTTGCTACTGCTACCACTGCTACTACCACTGCTACCTGCCACAGCTGCCTCTTCGCCAAGAGATGCATAAGCATATAACTTGCGGAGACATCACTGTCAGGAATTAGGTCACCACGTGATTCTGTCCGGAGTCTTCGCCTCCGGCACGCCCTCCACACGGAGTCTCCAAGCGAATAACGGGCTGTCTGCTGGATGTACCAACAGAGAAACTGACATAGCCTGTTAAAACAAACATCGTCAAAAGCTTCGACGGCAGACAACTCTTCTGGCACTTCGTGCACAGTGTGACCGGTTGCTGCGTCGCTACAGAGGGCAGCTATAAGAGCTAAATCGCAAAAGCTTCAAGCGAATCGCTGTCTGTTGGCATATCAGCTTCAATCGTCTCCTCGTTGAACTCCGCAGTTGCCTGCGAGGCTTCCACTGTTTGAGTCTCCCTCGGCTCTTTGCCGTCAACCACCACGAGAAGCTGAGCATCCTGAGACGACGTGGACAGGCATGAGCTGGACCTGATCAATGTCTTCTCCTGGCTTCTCGCTAGGGAACATAACCTAAGTTACCCTAATCACGAAATCCAATATTTTACTAAGTTACCCTTATAAAGAAATCCAACTTTTTACTATAGATCCCTATTACTGCAGCTTCAATCAAATTCCTTAACAAGAACCCGGTCTCCTTTGGAGAGTCTCTGGCAAGTTCAAGCTCCTTTGCCCTCTGCTCGACCCTCTCGCGACGGACCTCTTTACTGACCACCACGTAACAACCGCCCATCCACCTTAGCCGCCCTTAAGGTTTAGGGTTTAGGGTTTAGGGTAATAAGAACAACATGTTCAACATCTTCTTGGGTTTTGTATGAACAAGAATAAACAGCAATTCCTAAGGAGACTAGAGCCACCACCAGACCACGAACACAGCGAGCATCATCACAAACACAGCCGTTGCCAGGACGCCTCCCACGACACTCCTGTCATAGAGCAGAGAAAGTGCAAGGCACAGGCTTGGAAGAGCAATGAACGTAGCGGGTACATAGATAAGCGGAATCATTCGCCAGCAGGAAGCGTAGAAGCCAAGTATGCAAGCTGCTTTCACAGGCAGCGCGCGCAGCGGTGGCACTGGAAACCACAAAAGAAATCCGAAGATGTTGAAGAACAAATGGCATAAGGCAATTTGCAAAGTATCGCGCTTCAGTACAGCCAGTGCCGCCAGGAGGGATGTACATGTCGTTCCGATGTTTGCACCGATGGTTATGGGCAGCATTTTCTGGATCGACAGGACTCGCATGGCACATAGAGGGATCAACGTAGAGGTCGTCACACTGCTCGATTGTACGACTGCAGTGACAGCAAACCCGAGGACCACAGCAAGGTAGTCGTTCGTCTGGGAAGCACGTCTCATCATCTTCGCGGCCCAGCCAGTCAGGAGTGCATTCAGCGCCTGGACGAGGCAGAGCAGCGACCCTGCAACCAGCACGAAGGCGAGCACGAGCCCACAGGCACCTCCAACAACATCACCGACGCGGGCAAACATTCCAGAATCAAGGGCACGAGCATTCTCAATGGAGATCGCGTAGAACTTGCCAGCTTCCAAATAACAGTCCGTCGATTGCGCGCAGCCATGCGGGAAGCTCAATACATGACTGCACTTCGTAAGAGCGGCAAAGCCATCCAGATCTATTTTGCTCCAAGCATTCTGCATAGAGGTCGACACGCAGAAGTACTCGGCGCAGTTCAGCCGCGCTGAGCACAAGCCAGTGTCTACTGCGGCAGGCACTTCTTTAGGCGCGGGTGATCCCAAAGACACGGCTTTCATAACATCTTTGTTTGGATCCAATAGATAATCTGTCAGCGGACCCACGATCGACTTCGTCGGGGAACTAAAGCTGACATCACGAGCCCCCGTGCCCATTGCAGCATCCGTAACTGCCTTCGAGACGAGGTACAACGGTCCACCATCACCACTAATGGATGCCACGGCTATCTCCGCGGGTAACAGAATAAGAATGGTAAGCAAGTTGAACATTTCATGCACCGTCGCTCCGGCAAAGGCATGCTCCAGCTCAGTCGCACTGGCAGCGTGTAGAATGGACACGATTGTGTTGGTTATTGATGTTCCTACGTTCGCGCCCATGATTACTGGAATGGCAGCACGTACAGTCATCTGGCCGGCCCCAACCAGGCCTACGATGATGGAGGTGCTTGTCGACGAGGACTGCACAAGAGCAGTGGCCATGATGCCAATCATTAGGCCATGTACGGGACTTCCTGCAGATGCATTAAAGAGTTCAGCAGCTCCTTTGCCACCCAATATCACCACCGCTCTTCCCATCAGGTCAAGTCCCACCAGAAAGAAATACAAGGCGAACAGTACTGCAACCAAGCGTAAGATGAGTGACCGGATCGCCACACCGGTGCATGCCAGGGGTTTTGAGTCTGAAGACACGGCCGCGATTGCGAGCATGCCTAAGCGACTCCAGATCCAAGATGAACAAAGAAGCAGCCGAAGAAAGACGTGGAGGCAGAAAATGCTGCAGACCGGCTTGTTGCCGTCTTGCGGCTGCGGGTCTTTCAACCAGCAATGCTTCGGAACTGGATGCCGCACACCCTAAACCCCTAAACTCTAAACTCTGATGCCTTCACGGCACCGGTGCTTCGAGTTAAAGGCTGCGGATTTGGATTGCCGTGGATTGATCTTTCGCGGGCCGCGAGGACGGTACACAATGTGAGATACGTTCCGATACGATATGGTATACACAATTTACATTATACATCATATGCAACATGTAATGTGATATGTATGTTTTTGTATATATACATATATATATATATAGATAGAGATTTAGCTGCAGATACAGCTATCATGATACAAAAATTACAATATCATACCATGCAGTGTACAACGTACAACTTCTCACAAGCAATATACAGCACATAACCATCTGCTGTAGAGATTTCAATCTGTAGCCATGTTAGACTGTAGTGAATCATATGCAGTGAATTAAACGGCCTGTAGAATGCACACATGTATGTATGCACATGTATGAGTATGTATGTGCGTACACACATGCACCAATGTTTCTGCTTATTTTCACACCATGATGCAACAGACTACGTCTAAGGGCTTATGTATATATGAGTACATGGTATATACTATACATGTCTATATATATACATGTATGTATATGCTTACAATTATATAATGTATGTGCAAAACTAAGACATGTGATATGTGATATGTAAAATAAAAAACTCTGTGCATTATGTAGAAAAGGTAAATGCTACATAATGCAACACATATGACACATGCATACGTGCATATATACATGTATGCATGCATACATAACATACTTACATACATGCCTACATACATGCATACATACATACATACATACATACCATATAGAAAGATCTGGTGCGTACTACATATGCTATATCAACCGTTATAATCATGATACATGTATGCCATGTATGCTTGCATTTATGCATGCATACATATCCATATACATTGACACATCAACCTGAACGGGTGGATGGGCCACATTAAATCCTCCCGGGATGCGGGACCATTCCGACGCATCGTCCGCCATGGCAGCGCACAACTCCGCAGGCAGCGCTTCGAAGGATGGGTAGGAGCCCTCCTGACCATCCTAAACCCCTAAACCCCTAAACTCCTAAACTCTAAACCCTAAACCCCTAAACCCCGAAGACCTAAACCCTGAACCCCTAAACCCCAAACTCCTAAACTCTAAACCCCTAAACCCCGAACTCCTAAACCCTGAATCCCTATAACCCCTGAACCTAAATCTTTAGCAGACTTGGGCCCTTTGTGTCGAACACTTACTTGGAGGATCCTGGGACTTAGTAAGTAAGGTTATAAGTACCTTAAGTTGGGTTACAAGTATAGTTACCCTAATTATAACCCCAGTTACTAAGTCCCAGGATCCTTTAAGTAAGGTGGTTCCTGTAAGGTTTACAGAGTGAGGGTAGGGGGCTTGTAGGGCTAGTTGTCGGGTATATGGCTCTGGGTTTAGGGTTGAAGGCTTCGGGTTTATAGGGATATGGGTTTAGAGTTTAAGGTGTAGGGTTGAGGGTTATGGTTCCAGGGTTTGGGGTTGTAGTTCTACGGTCTAGGTTTTCGGGCTATGGGTCTGCGCTCGTTATCTACAGTATAATACAGTATCTTGCGGATCGATATATGACTAGTCTATTGAGCCCAATGTACGTGCTCAAGAACCCTAAACCATTCTAAACCCCAAACCTACGAGCTGATAGGCAATTCGGGTAGCAGGTTTCATGTTGACAAGCCTCAGGCCATCACTGAGAACGAGATGCTGTCAAAAGGCCTCGCAAAACCCCCAATCCTACGGTTGATGATATATACCCTGCTTACTTGAGACCCTAGACTATGGCAATTATGGTAATATGCCTTATTATGGGTAATGCAGGATTTACATCATCAACCGTAGGACGACCGCCACCTATGGGTTTAGGGTTTCGGGAGCAGGACTGGTACCCGACTGTGGCGGGAGCACGAGCTTTGGAGGTGGAGGCACAGTGTTCTCACGCTGCCTGGGGAATCGTATGCGCGAAACCCCAAACCCTCCTTGTTGTGGAAGCTTGGATGAAGTTCTGGTGACCTTTGGGATGCTTCGCAAGGGTGCTAGCAAGGCCGAACTCGATCGTAACAAGGCATTTGCGGCGGTTTAATGTCCTAAGGGTCGTCCCTCCATAGGTACTTTGAGGCCAAAGTACATACTATTTGGGCACATGGACCCTGTGGGATGGATTTTCGAGTCAAGTTTTATGCTGAAATGGATCCAGGCTGAAGGTTCTCTAAACTACATGGACCCTAAAAGTATGTAGAATAATGGCCTTTTAAAGGTATCGGGTCATTATTTTACCTCTTTGGGGGTTTAGGTATACCCTAAACCCTAAACCCAAGAGCCTAGCCTTGGACCCCTAGACCTTGCTGTGCAGGGCAGGACCTAACCTGCATCCCAAGGCAAACTGCGAGAATCTCAATAAAACCCTGTAGAGCTCGCATAGCAAGAACCCGGATTCAGCCTTTACGCATTCCACCCTGAATCAGAAAACCCCTAAAAGCCTAATGACAAACCCTCCAAAAGCCAAACCCTAAACCCTAAACCCTAAACCCCTAAACCAATTGGCTCCTCCATCTCTGTGCCCACTGCTCTGTGAGCCGGGAGTACCAGTGGAATTCCCTTCGAGGGCTCCGGGGTGGCTTCGAGTCCCAAGGGCGACGGATTTCGTAGGATCGGAGGGCTTAGGACTACTCTATGGTGCTCTTTTCCGCCCAGGATCTGGGAACCAACCCTAAACCCTAAACCCTAACATTTCGTAGGGTCTGTGGGCTTAGGACTGCTCTATGGTGCTCTTTTCCGCCCAGGACTTGGGAACCAACCTTCTAACAGTTTCGCGACGTCGGGCTGCGGGAACACGACTTCGAGACTAGGTGGATGGGGTGTGTTTATCTTGAGGGGGGATTATATCATAAGCTTTAAAAAATGGATAGGGGTATCCCACATAAACCACCCTCATTATGAAGCCCAATAAGGTCAGGAAGCCTTACGAGGTTCAGGTATGGGGTAGGTTTAGGATCTATATGAACGGTTTAGGCTTTAGGGCTTGTATGGTGGTTATGAAGGGCTGACGATTGATATTGCTTGAAGTAGTTAGGCACAATACTATCTAAGGGGCACTGGAAACACTCTCTATAATGTAATGCAGGGCCCTTAATGAATAGAATAGGGTTTTGGGGGTTTCCTTATTGTGATTATAGTATAATTTTACCCCCCAAACCCTGTTCTAATTATCCGGGTTAGTGCGCCTGCCCCGCCAGGAGTGCTGCTGTAGAAGCCTTCAGGAGAAAGAAGACTGGCGTTTAGGAGTTCGATAGGGCTCACCCAGACCTTCCAACAACCATATTTAAGGGATATGCCTTAAAATGAAGTAAGCAACCTTAATATGATTTAAAGCATATTCCTTAATTACGGGATATGGAAGGTTTGGGCAATTCCAGGGATGCTGGAAATACTCATGGCGTGCACTTGATGACCGGATGTCTCAGGCATACACGTGTCGAGGATATGGGAATCCCGAACCTTAAACCTCCAACCAGAAGCCGGACTTTCCTGAAGCCGCACCAGTTCAGTTCGAGCTCTCTCCCCTGCCCAGCTTATCTGAATTTTGCTAGGGTTTAGGGGTTAGGGCTTAGGGTTTAAATGCACCTCAGCATGCGCACTGTCAGGTAGCATTGCCGCTCAGAACCTTGAGGGTCCCTGTACCTGTATCCTATATATTCTGGCGTCACAGTGCCCACATTATAGCTTTTGCGACCTCAGTATGTTCTATTAGCCTGTACCCCTAAACCCTACTGGGAGGGGCAGGGGACTTAGTAAGTAGGTTATAAATAAACTTATATGTACCCTAAATGGAGTTACCCCAATTATAACCCTATACTTATAACCTACTTACTAAGTCCCCTGCCCCTCCAAGTAAACCCTATACCCTAAACCCTAAACCTCTTGAGCAAGGGTGACATCAGCCCGACTCTTTCGCATTTGGGCTTGAGAAAATTCCTTATTTAGGGTTTAGGGAAGTTTAGGGTTTAGAGTTTTGAGTTTTGGGTCTAGGGTTTGGGGTTTTGGGCTTAGGACCTAATCTTCTTCCGCAGCTGTTTTGAATGCAGTAGAGGCCTGTTCTCAATTTGTCCGTGGCTGTATGGTCCAGGGCCAAAGGCTTAGTTGCGTTTCAAGGTTTAGGATGCGGGGTGGTGATCACTTTGACCTGGGACCTTGAATCAGAAGAGATATCACCAGTAGGAACAAGCTCCATGTGACAAAGAGCTGGAGGCAAGTTCCAGAGGAAGTCCGCAAGGAAGTGGCTTCCGTTCAACGGCAGCAGCGGGTCCTCCATAACATTGTGGGAAAGTCGGGATTGGGGTGAATCTTGGCTGTTGAACTGGCGCCTAGCCCGACTAAATGACTAAACCCTGAAACTCCACCTGAACGAAATCACCTCTCACCAAACCCGCAATGCTATGGACATCCACAGCTTTACAACCATGCTGTACCACCATGCATCCGTACGCTTTCACAAGAACCATCTACCAGATACGCAGAAGATGAATCCATGTGGACGTCCTCCGTCAGCCCTGCGACTACAGTCCGCGGTGTCGAAACATACGCGGCTGCGACGAGATGTAGGGGGTCCTCCGGGTGGAGTGTAGGCGGAGGATTTAGCCGACCCGGATTGTAAACCTCCCCCTCTCATCTTGAATAACATTAGTTTTCGGCGAGCATTTGGCCCGGAATGTGACGGAACAGGAGTTTCAAAGGGCCAAGACTACGGCACAATGAGGCGCTGCAACATCAGTGAGAGACTACTTGGAGGTCGGGGGACTTAGTAAGTAGGTAGCAAGTAGACTTATAAGTACCCAAA